TAATACAGGTTGAGAACCATGGACTGAGCATTCATACTCCATATTGGTAATATTACATAATATTTTAATAACATCTATTTTTCAAAATGTTATTAATAAATTTAATTTAAAATTCATTATTATATTAAAATAACAATTTTTCCTATGAATAATTGGTTTTCGAGTTATTTTAAGAGCGTATACCCGTAAAATGATATTTTACATTGGGTATACGCCGAAAATCGAAAATCTGCTGACGGGTATACGGCTTATACCCGCGTATCCGTACCAATACACCACTGGTCAAACCACAATATTATTTGATTTTAAATACGAACATTTATATCTTGTGTGGTATAAATGACGCCACTGCAGGACTCTTACTCTTTGGATAAGAGTGATGAGACCTGACAACTATTAACTGATAGCTAAGCAACGAGGAGCAAAGTCGAAATGGTGGCAAATTCATTACTCAGAATCCGGACGGTAAGAAATAGTTTGAAAAAACGAACTTTTAACTCACTTTGAAAGAAACTTAAGTTTTGACTCAAAATTCACAAAAACAACTCATATAAACACTATACGTAACAAACTCTTTCTCTGAAAAATAGTTCATCCTGACGTAGAACAAAATAAATTCTTTATACCAAGAATGTATACTGTTAAAAAAATTTCCCCTGCAAGACATCTAAAATAATAAAATGAATGAAATAAATGAAGTTAAAAAGAAATAGGAACTGTGTGTCCGCAGAAACAGGGTACTCTTAATCACTGATTATACTTAATTTTCAATTCTGTTTGAGGGACATTCAACTAGACTAATGGATCATACATTTCTATGACTTACAATTTTGTAAGCTCATGTATTTTTCGCATGACGTGCTACACAACTTAATTTTTTCTTAATGGCAACCCCCTATTTTGAATATCATTTTTGGATTTATCGGGTTTTTTCAAATAACTTTGATCCATACATTTGTACTTTAAAACCAAAATTGGCAAAATTAGAGCTTGGTATAATTTTAAAATAACAGTACATAAATTAAGTAAATTAGATTTTTTTTTTTAATTGCAAGCATTTTTTCTTTCTATTTTCTAAACACCGTGATTGCATGATGAATAATATAATAAAATAAAATACTAATTCATAAAAAGTAATTAATTTAGTACTTTAATCATAATAAGTTTGATTTTATCATGGTGTTTAGAAGGAATAAATACTGTTCATACAAATATTCAGTTGATGATTCATTTGACGGTTGAGAGGTGTGAGGTAGATGGGAGAGGGGTTGACCTATTGATCACACTTATCGCTTCATTTATAAATATTATACCAAATAAATTAAAGATTTTTTTTTTCTTTGATTAATTTATAAAAGATTAATTTTATTATTTTATATTATGATAAAATGATTTATAAATATTTTAACTACCTACTAATGGAATAATGATGTGTTCATTATATTTCATGAATTTGTGCAAGGATTTATTATATCAGGCTGGCATAACAAAAATTCAAATATGGTACAATTAAACTAAGTTTTTTTAAAAAAAAATGTTAGCACTAGCGGTCCTATGTGAAAAAAAGCTTATCTGAAACCATTGGACGTTGTAATGAAAATAATTGACAAGTGTTGGATAATACACCCATACAGTACATAGGATATCCTTTACAATACTAAAGTGAAAATTAATAATAAACCGATTTCTGCCCTTTGTTAATTCAGACATTATATTTATTATTTAAGATACAAGGTTGTAATAAAAATTATTGTATTGTAAAATGCATTTGTGGTTTTGAAATAAGCAAAAGAATTACAAAATAAGGATATGAAAAATGAAATATATTATAGTATGTACACATTGTACACCTACAGACCTACCTACCTACCTACTACATCCATGAAACGCTGAGTTATGTATGAAAACATTTAAATTAATCAGCATTCAGTAAAAATACTTCAAAAATTGTATATACCTAGTACCTACAGCCATACAGTAGAGTACCGCTCTTCCAGACTTGGTACGACCGGACTCTACTGCATGTCTGTATGTATAAGATTCGAAGTTTTTTTACTGAATACTGTATCTACAGTTATTCGTTCTTGAATAACAAAAAATAAGAAAATCTTTCGATGAGAATTCGTTAACTTACGGGTGAATAAGTTATGTCAATACAAATTTGAAAGCTGAAAATCAAAGCTTTTTTACTTCCCCAAAAGGCGATTGCAGACACAAATAAATTATTAATAAACAATAAACAAATTACACACACATCATTGTAAAATCAATATGTTCATGAGTTTAGCCCGTTTAGGCACTGCCATTCCAAGCTATTCTAATTTAATTTATCCTTAAAGTAAAGAATACAAATATTATTTTAAACTAGTATTCTTAAATAATAAAATACTTTACAATGATTTTGCACATAAATTTACATCTATAGGCATAGTTATCTAATACCTATTATTATAAAGATGATATCACTATATCGAATGTTAAATTCATCAAATTAAATAAATAAAATGTTCATGAAGGTATCTATCGTATACAATGTAAGTAGGTTGGTATGTTCTTCGTTGTTTGTTATTTAAAAATATTATAATAATCTTATGTATGAAAAACACAACTGTCATAGAGTGAAGTAGGTAGGCATATTTTTAAGTATTTTGCAACAATATTTTGCCAATCTATTTAAACATTTGGACATTTTTTTTTTTGGCTACAATCCAATTTTTCTCATATTTACCGTTCCAATCAGTTGCGGACACAGCTATTTTCAATAGTGGCCGTAGGGGGTTTACACGAGGCCTTCCTGAACTACAACTTATAAGAGGGGGGGGGCTATCAATTTGGCGCCTCAAAAAATTTGTTCCTGGCTTTGCTCGTAAAAAATTATTACTAATATATTAGATACATTATATTATAATATAAGCCAGAAATTCGTTTTTATTTATATTATTGCTTAGTTTGTATAGAACTTCATTGTGGAAGGCGGGTGGAAATATTACATACAGTGAAAAAAATACCAAGTGGAGGAGGGGTTGAACACTTAAGCCCCTCCTCGTGTATACGTGACTAGTTCCAATGAGCTGGCAATGAAAAACTTGGTTAAAATATTATGGATAACACGTTATAAAAAAAAAAATCTCTTCAAAATCTAGTTAAATCACTATATTATAAAATAATATTCCATTGCCCAAGTACCTTTATGACAAATAATTATTATATATTATATATAGAATACAAAAAATAAAAATAAAATATAAACAAATGGTATGTATTTTTGTCATTTGATTATCATCCTAACTAAACCAAAGTATAATGGTCAAATATATTAGACTTATAGCTATTATATATTAGTTTTAATATGACTAAAAAAAGTAAAAATAGTAAATATTAAGCATAGCGGTTCCTAAATGAATATGTTATATTATATTGTTTAAGGTAAGTATAGTCCCTCTTTATTATACAGGGCTATTCCATTATCAGTCAACAATAATCACTAAAATTATTTAGGTTGATTTTTATCTGAGTATAACGACGATTTTTTTTAAATCGTTGATACTATTTAAAGTTTATACTCTAAAGTAATATTGTATTAAAGATTTACTCTATAAACATTTTAATGTAACTATGAGATAAATTGTCTGGTTCGACATTAGGGTTACCTCTTACAATCCTACATAAACTTAAAATCCTTGTACAATGATATATTATTCAAATGAAAGTAATTTTCAATATTTTATATGTATCCATCATTATTTACTACAAAAATGTAGTGTTATAAATTATTAAATTTCATAAATAAATATTTATTAAATCATGATTTGTAGTGTTTACTTTTAAAGGGATCATTTTCTGGATGCACCTACCAATATTAAAATTAATTGAGAATTTAAAAATTAAACTTCATGATGAAATATAGCACAATTTATATGACGACTATATTATAATAAGTAGTATACAAGGCCAAGAATTGGTCTAATACTGACTGGATAACAATGTGACTTAATAGAATTTAGAATTAAAATAAAAAACTTATTAGAATTAAAATAAATCAGAATTTTTTTCAAATTTATCATTTTACCTGTCCTAATAAAATTGTCTAGTTTCACTTGTGTGTACATTAATAATATTTAGTTATGTAGAGGTAATATATCAATAATGTTATGGTTAGATGCTTAGGTGATATTGTATTTGATTGGTCGTAAAATATGTGGATACGTAAACAATTTATGTGGAATATTTTTATAGACATAAAATTTGTTTAGAGGTCAAATTGATACTAAAAGATGTTGTAAACTTTTGATTGATTATAGCCGTAAACTCTCACAGAAACATGAATATTATATAGGGTGATTATTAACAGTGTGAATGATTATTATTTTGAAAGAATATACACTTTGGAAAATTTGTTTTTGAAAAATTTAATTTAAGTATTATGCAATTGCAACATTTTATATTTCCACTTATTTTTCACTATTGCTTTATTGATAACAACTTATAATTTTAAATAATACCAAAAACCTATATAAGTATTTTTAATTTTATGAACAAAATTAGAAGACGTTTTAAAAAAAAGTGACTTAAAACTTTAAAAATTTCAAATTGATTTTAGACTAATCAACAAACGTTGTTAAAAAAGTAAGTGCAATACATAAAATGCGAGGATTGCACAGGTAACTTAATTTATTCAAATACTATATAAAAAAGAGAGAACACGTGTATTTATTATACGCTGCAGTATTGAAATATTGAGTGTTCTATGCTTGTTAAAAGAACCACCTCGTGGGTTGTTATCGACATATTTTTTTGTGATTATTTTATTATAATATTTACCAACATATTATATTATGATGGTTTTATTATTAATTTATCCGGCAGTTTGGCGTACTGCGGTAAACGGACTAAAGTTCAACCGGCTTGTCTTATCTATGCCGAAACCGTATATTATGGTATACACTATACACTGTGCATGGTATATTTATATTCATTACGTCAGTGTCTCGTTAATAATACACTAGGTAAGTAGGTATGATAATATTAATAATGCATATTGTATAGATTTAACTGCTGATTACTGATCGTATACCATCAACCGGGTGGACCCGCGCGGTCGTGTCAGTATGTTTTCGTCGTTTTCACTCGGTCAGATATACCACGGACAGGAGAAGACAACAAAAATTATCAAACACGTACAGGTTATCGATTAACTGATATACGTGCTCTTGAAATACGGTTTTAAACGAATTATCCGTTTTTGCGATATAAATGTATAATATTTATTGGTTCATAACATAGTTGGCATGTAGACGAAATTGTCTTCGGTGGAGAGTTTTTTTTTTTGTTCGTTAACCATAATAGGTATAATATTATTATATTAGAGAAAATCCGTTACGACTAATTATGACCGCCGCAGCCAAAACCTGCACCATGGACGCCATCAATAAGGGCGTACATTTATCGGGTGCCGTACTCTTCACTTATTCACTATATTATTATTACACCTACGTCAACATACCAGCCCATCTTAACCCCTTAGATGAGGCCATCGGAGGGAAATTCAAATATCTAACCTTCTGCAATATGGTAAGTATACTTTTTATATACTATGCTATCCTAAACTGTTTTTCTTTATCATTCTATATTAAGTTTGATTCTTTGCAAATCCGTTTACGTCTCTGTAGGTGTAGAATAATGAGTCCAGCTGAATACAGTGTTTGTAATTTTAAGAAATATTAAATATACTTTTATGAGTTTTATAGTGCAGTATTGTATATAAATAGTATTATATATAACCTTGCAGTGCAGATCACTGGGAATTTCAAAATGAAATTTCCAGAATTTTCTGATTTAAGGTTTACTCATCTATTGCTGCAGTGATTGAGCCGCCACTTAAAAAATACCCTCTATATGTGTCTTTATTTTCTTTTATTCCTCTGCCATTGGTACTTTGGCTAGGCCAATATGTGGTTAGTTAACATTTAATACTTCAAGTTCGTTTTTAAATTTAGATTGTTAGACAACTTTCAAAGTTTATAAGACTTGATTTTTGACCGTAAATTATTTTTTAGCCTTTGCACTATTATCTTCACGGTTGCAATTTTTTGGAATCAAACCCTGTTCATATCATTTTTTTAGAAGAATCAGTTTTTTTGTGATTTTAAAATGATAATAATCGTCTACTTAGTATTTTTTTTTAAGTTTGAATCTTGAATTTTAATTCATTTGTTAAGTTGGTTAAAATAAGAAAATTTCAAATTTAATTTGTAGCTTCCATAATGAATTCATATAACTTTTATTTACAATAACTATAAGACCAAAATATTAAATATCAGTATAAAAAATAAAAATAATAACTGAACGTTATTAATTTTAAGTTTAAATAAAACATTTTTATTCTAATATTAATGGGTATTACAAGGTGTAACTTAAATGTAATTTTAGATATTATAAAATTTTATAAGCTCATCCAAAATTATTCAATAGTATAATATTATGGTACCATTGATATTTGTTATCGTTATGTAACTGATTTAACCTACTGAATAAAATTCTAGTTATCTTTTCCTAATAATATGTTGTGCTAATATTAGGTATTATAACAACATGATGATAGTAGCGAAAAAACGAAAAGTATTCAAACGTCCTGAATAAAGTCAAACAAATCATTTGAACGTTGGTTTAAGCAAAAAAAAATCTTTTACACTTTTTGCTGTTAACGTGATGATAGCAAAGTAAAAGTGTAATATTTTCTAGTGATGAAAATTAAGTCTAACAAACTTTGAAAGTTATCCAACAATCTCTAAAAACATAGTACTTACTAATAATTTTGTTAAATTTGTTTAAATGTTAACTAATAATCTTGTGCTGTTAAGTTCATGAGGATGTATTTGACTTTGACACCAACACGAATTTGCAACTACAGTAACACACTAACACTGTTACGTAATTATTAATAGTTGAAACCTCAAACAAGAGTACAATATTAAGGTGTTAGGCTTAGGTAATTAGATTACTAATGTTGTCCTATACAATATGTTATAAGGCTTTTCAAATCATGTCGCTTAAGCGTTTAAAATTACTGAGGACTTGTACCACTTCAAAAATGTGTTGGGTGTTTTTATTATTTTTTCTTTCGATAGTTGGGTAGTCCATATAAGGTTAAAGAAGTTTAACACAAAGATTTTATCGGATTAGAGATTAATAAAAATAATTGTAAACAATTGTATACAATTAAACACCTATTTTAAATAAAAGTTTTGAATTATTTTTGATTTAAACAATGGAGCTCAGATTCGACTGTTTACATAAAATAATGTATTATTATTGCTTATTCAAATTCAAAGCAATTAACCCTAATGCCCTACGATAGTTCACTGTACTTAGCTACATATCCTACATTTCAATTTTTTTTATAATTATTTAAATAACAAGTATGATAGGGACCTTTGTACATAAACAAAAAAAACCCCAAATTTTGTCGAAAAAAGGTCAAAATGGAATTCCGATTATATAGTTGTACACATTTTGCACTTCTTGGACTATATTATGTATAGTCAATTTACCTAGAAATTAGAATCAACTAATTGTTTGAATGATTGACAGCACTAGAAAAGTTAACGTTTATTTTTCACAGGTTATCCAAACGTTTTTTTACCTGTACGCGGTGTTCGTCGATCACATCGCCGTGCGCACTTGCTCTGCTGTTACGTCAGAGTCGTTGAAAAGGAGTAAACACAATTTTTTCACAATTTTCGCATTTCCACTGTCGATGGTAATATACAGTTATATATTTATAAATTACAATACAAGTCTATACAAATAAATGAAAACTTAAGATAAAAGTCCTGCTTATACAAGGGTAATCGATCAAAATGCATAATTTGAAAAAAAATTGAACAAAAAGTCCAGATTCATTTTTTATTGTTGGAGAAGAAGTCTGTGCACATTTTTATCATCAGATAAAAGGCCCGATTAATTGTATTTATATTAAGAATATATATTTTTATAATATTAATAATATTTTATTGGATTTCGTCTAAGTTCGGCTAAGTACTTACAGCAAATAAATGTTAATACATACATTTATTTAAAACTGTGAGACTTCCATTATATTACTATGTTATTTTATTTAACTTTAATAAAGCTAGCTTTAAAAAATGTAATGCATCCAAAATAGCACATAATATTTACTTATATCAAAAGTCATTAAAATCTTTTATTTAAAACTTTTGTACAAGCGCAATTCTCTCTCTAAAAAAAAAAAATAATAATAATACAATTTATAAAAGTGGATAGGTACTCTACTGGTGATCTTTAAGTTCAGCAAATAGGTACATTTACAGCGTTATCTAGATTGATATTGTGAACTTCTTCTTTTACAACATTAATTAATATCAATGTATCATGACATAATTTATTCGTTCAGTCTTCTATATCAAACACTGCAGAGCGTAAATAAAAACTATTTACATTTATATAAAAATACAATTTAAAATGAACTATGTAAATAATGGTGCATTACATTATTTCAGAAGACCAATTAGGACGGCCCAGTGACAGCGCGAAGCCAATTTTTTGAGCCCCGAATCGAAATATATCTATTTTTTTAATAATACAATATACAATATATTAATATACAAGTTTAGGTATAAGTATTTTGTTTTATAATCTGTTAGCAGTATAAATTGATACACTTTTTATAAATAATAAAATATATATATATATTGTATAAATATCATAAAAGTAATAAGCGAATTCAACATTTTGAATTTTGAAAATGTATTCTTAATTAAATTGTTGATTTTTGTTTTACAGTTTATTACTGTAAGCTTTTGGCCAATGTGGTTTGCTGACAAATCTTTAGTTATGCCTATGCACTATGATAAATACTTTCCGTCTTGGCTGAATCATGTAACACATGCGCATATTTTTATATTTGCAATATTGGAAATGATCACGACTTACAGAGAATATCCATCCAGAATAACAGGATTGTCTGTTTTTATTACTTTTAAACTTTGTTATTTGATTTGGTAAGTATTATTTGGTTTTTTTTATAGTAAGTATATATTAAATACCTGCGATTCATACACATTTAGAAAATTTTAAAAATTAAATGTAACATGACTATTGACTATACAAGCGTTATTAGGTTAACACTAGTCACTATACTCACTAAATATATTTTTTAATAAACTGAAAACAGGCAATGATAATTATTAATTTGTAAATTTTACTAAAGATGTGTTAATCTAGTGCCATCTATGCGACATTTTTCAATATTTATGTAATACATTTAATACGTTTATTAATGTCTTATTATTTATATCGGTCAAGTCGTATAAGAAAATTCGAAAATAGAATATTGGATGATTTCATTTGGAAAGTAGTGATCTAAAAAATAGGTACCTAGACATAACTTGTACAGTTGTACCTATGTAAAATATGTAAATATGAGAGATGGAAAAGTGGTGAAAGGCAATATCTATTTGGTACAACTAAAATGAATAGAAATTATTTGAAAACAATATATTTATATACATATTATGATCAGAATAATCAAAAATAAAAAAGTAGGATGAATTATACACATCAGCAGTTTGAAGAAGTCGAAAATTAAAAATAATAAATTAACTATCAATGGATTTTAACTATAAAATTAATTTTTGTTTGAATAGATGCATTTTATCTTTTGAATTTGGCTAAATGATTATTGATTGCATTACTATTTATTTTCTAGTTACCCCACCCGGCGTTTCCCGTGCCAAAGATTTGTTCATTTATAAATAAACCTATAATTGTAAAAAATGTAAATGCCAAAATTTCTACTAATTATAATGGTAACATAACATTAACATTATATAATCAATGGAAACCAATTTAAATCAAAAATGTCTGTGAGATGAAAAAATGCATGTGAGAGCTACTGAGCTACCTTTTAGCTACCTATAGCCTATAGGGATTGAAAAAATAAGCAATGAACTACCTCCAACGTTCCAAGTCCCGAAGAATTTATTGACAAAACTTTTATTGAAAATGGTCCAGTATTTTTTGAGTCAATTAACTTCAGATAAACCAACATCCATTTTTAGCTGTATACCTTAACTTCACCTATGAACATTTTTTTAAAAATATAAAATTTATGTATATAATAGGTGTATCTTGGGTTTAGTGTACATATATCAGTTCACGGAAAAATCGGCTTAGGTGTACCTCGTTTTGTGAACTAATTCGACCTAGATAGATAATTCACCTTTGTCAATCTTGAAATTAATGGAATGTAATTTAAACTTCTCTTATGTTCATAGATAAGAAAATCTCTAACAATTTTGAGTTTTCCCAAAATCGGGCCAAGTTGTTTTTGAATATATAAATTACAAACATACATTCAAGTAATCATCTCTTATATTTGTTTTAAGATATAATTTCATTCTTCAAGACCATAAACACGATGATTAATGCATGTTTTTACCTTACCTGCCCAAGTAACTAATAGCAACCATTTAGGTATGTACAAAAAAAAGTTGTCAATTTCCCTCGCAAATCTCAAATATATTTTGTGTGAATTAGCACATCTTTTGAACTTAAATTTTGGAAAATCCTTCTTTACTGCACCTTTATACACGATGGGATGAAGATAGGCACCATAATGTTTCAAGTCTCCGGCTATCATAGTTTAGGCTTACAAATCAGTTAATCAATCAAAAAAGCACTTTTTTTCTAATTTTCTGGACAACTTTTACAATTTTTCTGTTCGTTAACACCGTATTCGAACTTTAAAGAACATTAATAAAGCTTAATCAGCCCAGCTGTTATAAGTGATGAAATTACCAATGAACAGCATTTAATTTGTGTTTATATAGATACCATATTTCCATCACTTGTTAAGAACAATTCTGAGTAGAATTATTTTTAAGGTTTTTTTTCTCAAATTAAAATTCAAACCATGTCACATAAGTTAAATTATTTAAGTATCTATTTATTTAACAAACAATTTTTCAAGAAATGTTTCTAGAAATAAGTAAATACCCATAGTGGTAAAACAAATCAAACTTCTTCCGATCCAGATCCTCCATATCCTTCCTTCAAAATTGTGTAATAATAAAATAGGTAGATACTACTATATTAGGTAGGTATATAATAATTTACAATTTGCAATGTTCTACATATTTTTAAATTAATAAGTAATGGAATTAAATGAATTAATATTTGACTACCTAGTACCTACATATAATGAATTGTGATATAAACATGTTATGGATTAAAAATAAATTAAATTGGTCCACTGGGTGCTTGGCGTTTAAACTACATTAATAAAAGATTACTATAGTTATTACTTTATTAGGTACTAGGGGGGGGCGAATTTATCGCATTAAAAAACACATTGAATTGATTGCATTATTGTATTAATATATATAAATAATTGCACTTACCTATACATTTTTAAATTACATTGAAGCATTTTAAAAAATTAAAAAATTATACAATAATTTATAGATGATAATTTAAAAATTAAATATACTTATAGGTAATATAGAAAAAAAATGATATACAAACATTGCTTTGATTACTGCATTGCTCAATAAGTGATATTTTATGCTATCGATGTTTATGTCTAATGGACTGTCTATTATCCCACAATAAATTATTATAATTACAATAACTATTATTATGGAAAAACTTGTTTTAACATTTGTGGACCGTAGAAGGTGGTTGTAAATATTGTAATTGGCACGTACTTATTTGCAATTTAGAAGTAAACCAGTTTATTGCTAAATTCTCAAATCGTCTGGCAATCACTTAATTGATTTCATTTCTCAGCTCAAAATTTGTGAGTTATAAATGTATCAAACAAATAAATGGGTATTGCTACGTATCCTTAATTTGCTTTTTATAGTGAGTATTTAACTTTTTTTTTAGCTTTTAGTTTTACTATTACAGCCTAACGATTATATAAAACAACATAAATAATAACAATAAAATATTTAAAATAAATACAAAGAATTAAAACAGCAATTAACTTAAAAGTAAATTTAGTATTTAACTTTATTTAACTTTTAAAACTAGGTATACTAAAATCATAAAAATAGCATTTTATTGAAATAAAAATAATATAACTAAATTATCTGTTTTAAGAAAAATGGATTAGTTCACCAAGTAATGAATGTAATATTATAAGCATCTAAAAACGATATATAAATGCAATAATTTCACTGCCCTTATACCATAGGCGTAATACTAGGCCCTTAGATTAAAGGTAGGGGTAAAAGTTATGTAATTTTTTTGATAGTTGAATATAATATTATACCTACAAAGCTGGTGAAATGAATATTTATACTACTGCAATGAAAACAATGTCGAGAAAAATATAGGTACCTATGCTTAAGTCGAGAGTGACGGGGAATCACCTCCACACTCTAGGTATACACTAGGTATAAACAAGTTGATTGACCTACCAATTTCACTGGACATGCCACGAACGCCTTGAGTATCATAATAATATGTGCACTCGGTAGTTTTGTGAACCCGGCGGGCTGAGTACCTATCTTTACGATACTCACTTTTTTTTAGTATTTCTGACATGGACAATTCCTTACTTCCTGAGATATAAATAAATCAATAATCTCGAAAAACTATTTGATTATCATAATATACGTATCTATAACAAAAATAAATTTAAGTATATATTATGTACAGTACTATATATAGTGCACATACAATTACCCAAAAAAATCTGAGTTGGCTTCAAATAATTCTTGAGGGGGCCCTTAAGCAACGTATTTACGTATTTGGTGGTGATTACTATTCATAATCTAATTAAATATCATAAATGTACATACTAATTAATAATAAAATGTATTTACAGGATTAACTATGTATTTTACAAGAGTGGCATGTGGGTTTACCCCATTCTTGCAAAACTGAACTTGCCATTGAGAGTGATGTTCTTTACGGGAACATTTTTATATGCTCCAATTACCTATCTAGTTGGTGAATATTTAAATAATGCCTACTGGGGAGTTCGTTCTTTAAATGTAAGTTTATGTCAAAATTATATAATTTGGTTCTATGACCATAAAATAGTGTACAATAATAGTACTACCTTCTACCTAGCCACCTAAATACCTAATACCATTGATTATAAATACTATTATTTATAATCAATGCTAATACTGATATTATTTGATATTCCTATATTATTATTACAATCTTGCTGTCTGGGTATATTAATACCTATTTAATATCCATGAATGATTGTTGTTGTAATGTATATTTTTTGTTACAGAAATCAAAAAATTTGAAGAAAGAATAAATCGAATAAAATATTAATATGACATTATACTCAATAATGTACCTATGTTAAATGTTGCACCAAAATGTTCTGATTTATATTCCTATAAATCGTATGTAAGCGTTATTTTTGATTTGTATAAAATATATCAAAATATGATCTTTTAGTATAAGTACCTATAAATTATAATATTATATTTATATGCTTCGTGTCTGCGTAGTGCGTGTAACATTTTATAATGATATACTATTAATATAACGTGTTAAGGAGGTATTAACTTTTGTCAATTATATTATTACTTATTTGATAATAGCGAACAGTCTAGCAGCAGTCAGAGCTAGGTACTTAATACTTATATAGGTATCTACGTATCTCCACTTGGTAATATTCATGGTATATTATTAATTTATTGCTTTTAATCTACAATTGTATATCAAACGAGTGGCAGCTCGCAACTATGAATGATAATAATTAATAGCACTACTGCACTATAAATTGTAATAGGTACAATATGTAGAACTGCCAACTGGTAAGTGGTAAGTACTTACCGGCTACCACACACCTACCAATCACCAAAATTGTCATCATGGAATCTACGAATGTATGACAGTCATACACGTAATTGTTATAATTAGTTTCATGATATTATACACATTTTCAAACGTATACTTTTAAGTACATACAATTAATTTTTTTTATGCAATCGTCTGTTGATGTAAAAATGAATATCTATTACCTACTGTCCTACTCAATACGTTTTTTTAACATAAACACAAACAAAAAAACATCTGTTCGTTGGAAAAGCTAAACCCTATTCAGGTGCGTAGTGGTACAAGAACAAACACGAGTTCGGGGAAGTATTACCTATACTGCATATACATCATAAATTAATAGTTATAACAATATGTATGCATGTAGGTGATATAATATAGTATTTTGGTAATAGTTGATAAAAAGTTGACTACTCATTACTCTCTATATATAATTTAGGTAGGTGCATATATTGTATATTATATATTAATGTTATGTATTTATGTTATCGACTACCGAGAGTCTCGAGACCATACATATAGTATTTACATAATACTACAACGTTCGGTAGGTTAGTAGGTTATAACGATTTACAATTACTTTCAACGTAAAATGCACAATTAAGTTGGCATAATATTTATTTATATAATTATTTTATTTGCCCACCGGACGTGTGTCTCTGGCAAATTGTAATTTGTATACCCGCCACTACGAGTGCTAGCGACGGCAGGAACAGCAACTACTACTACCGACGGCGGACGGACCGGAGTCGTCGCACTGTCACAGTTCGGCAGTCGCCTATCAAATTCCGCACGACGATTCGGGTGCCGACGAGGTTACCGGCTTTACCGCATCGGCGCATCAACAATAACAATAACAATAACAACAACAACAACAACAACAACAGCTCCACGTCTACTGCAACCAATTACCGTCTTATCTATATAGTATTCTACTATTCTAGTTATCTATCTCGTCGCGTCACGTATTGTGGATTTTATTGGATCAGCCACTATCGTAGAAGCGTGACGAATATTTATAGTTCGTGTTATACCGTATTGCCGTAGTGTGCACGTCTTTAACGTCGAAAATATTATTATTATACTAGTGATTAATTATTTATGCCAATTATAAATCATTACGAACTATTAAGCCGGTTCGAAATTGATAATTGATACTATTTTAGAACATCGTCCCGTACTCCCATTTTCGATCAGCTTTGAATGTGTTATCGGGTTCCGGCATTCCGAGTAAACCTACATAATGGTTTTCAAATTTGAATAGGTATTTGTGGTTTGTCAATCGATCCGCGTTCGGGGCCTAAATTGGCCTACTACCGAGCATTGACTGAAATCTAAATAAACTAATTGCATTATTATTATGCATTAATTATGCCGATCGATACCGGTTTCCGAATGAAAACCGAACTAAGCCGTTTTCGTCGTGTACTATAATTCTGTGATGATGACACCATTACCAGTCCCGTGACATTCATGTGAGTTTTTAAACATTCATAAAAAATTTACCCTTTTTTCCTTTCTATATTGTTCAGCGTTCGCCGTCTTAATGTAGAGCGTTGCGCAAATTACCCAAGGTTGGTCCACGTCGTCTGCCTAATAATATTATGACTTGTGAATTAATTTTTATGGCGACAGTTAGGTACCGATTATATTTATTATTTTTATTAAAAAATTGTTGATGTTGTCTGATCTCAGGATGTCAAACAGTAATAATGCATCGCCCAGCCGTATTCCAAAGCCGAATTGGTTACGGCACTCGAATAAGACACCAAAGATCCAAAGACATCAAAGTCTAGTGAGTGAAATACTGTTTTTCACATTAATATTAACTATAGGTACATAATAAATAAAGTACCTATCTATATCTATTAAAAAAGGTTCCTAATACTATTGACATTTTGTTTTAATTCACTGATAATAGACAATTTTTTTTAAATTTTTTACTCAATATAATATGTATACTTTGAGACTTTTGAAAACTAAGCATAATAATAAATCATTTTTATATATACTAGGTATGCTTCAAAGGGGAGGCTTTCTCCTCAACTGAACTTTTTCCTGTCAATTAAGTATAGGTATATGTTATCACTTATCACAAATTTTTATTGTGCCTAAATATTTACAGATAAAATTTATTCAAAAAAATAGATATATCATGTATTGATATATATGTATATAGGATAAGACGTTGATTTTTAGTAAAATAATCATAATGGTTGTATTTAAAAATAATGATACTTATTGTTTTCAATGATAAGTAAGTTATTATTAATGGTTTTATATTTTTAACTAGCTTTATCAACTTTATAATCTGCTTAGTCGTATCAAATACAAAAATTAAATAACAAATTCCCTAATTAAAAAAAAAATATATCAAATATGTATTGGTTTTCTTTTTATTATCTGATAAACATTAAAGATAGAGAACTATTATTATGAATTGTTGCCCGTTGGTATTTTTTTGTTAAGTTATTTTATATTTTATAAATCATATTTATCTGTTTAATAATCATCAAATTAAAATCTCTATAATTATATCTACTATTATATGTACTTGGTTTCCAAAGTGTTCAGATAATCACCATCTTATTAAATTTTTTAATTAAATACATTTTTTTCGCATAAGTATCATACCATTATACCTATTTACCATGTGTACTCTGCAGATAATAATATGTACCTAGCATCATAAAATACGTTTTTTTTTAACGTCTGGATGTAAAAGTACACAATTGATATTTTGACTAAAATTATAAATAATAACATTCTTGAACCAATAAAAAAAAAAAATATTAATTAATTTAAAATTAAAATTTTAGTCATATTTTAATGAGCCTTTGCCCAAAACAATTGTTTTAATAACAGCCACTTTTCTACCTTTACCTATCTACATTTAGTATGTACATATTTTTAACTATCTGTTATTAGGCTTCAGTGCTAGACTAGTTAGGTTCTAACAAATAACTTTTAATTATTTTAATTGGTTATAAATTATTGTATTGTTATAAAGTAGTAGATTACTGTACAATAGGGTTTTAATATAATGAAGACAAGATAAGCCGTATAATATATTTATTATGCTATTTATATGAAGTTCTATTTTTAAAATGTTCAGAAATATGCTTTTAGAAAATAATGTTCCGAACATTGGAATGTTACCAATTGTATGACTTTGATGAAGTCCAATGATAGTCAGTACTTATAAATTTAGTTTGGATGCAAAAATGTTTTACCAAGCTTGTGAAAGCCTGATATTCACCATAAATTATTACTATCAAGAATAAAATATATGGACAATTAAAACTAAAAATTCATACATAAAAATTAATATTTAATCAAATCGAGAGACTATCAAATAAACACAATATTTGCTACTTATAAAGTAATACTGTTCATATTTTGTTATTACTTATTATAAATGGAGAAACTTAGGTCCATGTTTGGAATACTATTTAGTATTAACTAAATATTCACTATTCTTGTATGTCATTAGTAATAACCAAGGTTTGGGACATTATGCACCTATAATCATCAAAATAAGCAATTAAATACTTTATTATAGACACTTAAAAGTATTAAAATGAGCAAAAAAAGCACTACAAAAATTATCAACATAATTTTTTTTTAAATAATCGTTTACTTTGTACGCTTAGAAATATAAAAAAAAAAACAATTAAAAAATTAGCCTTTTTAAAATATTTTAAATCATTTAAACTTTTTTAGTACACATCTACTAAATTTCTAATAACTGAAAAAAAATTTAATTAAATTGGCCAATTAGTAAATGAGTGAGCAAATACGAGTTTCTGTGTTAATTTAATAGGGAATATTATGATATGAAGAAGAAAAATTATTTTTATTTTTAGGTTTACCGTGAACAAAAACAATATAAAAACAGAAATTAACTAAAATGTCTAGGCTTTTGTCAGTAGCATGTGTCATCATAAATCATAATTAAGCAGAAAAATGTATGAAATCAAAAATAATCAAAAAAACTTGATATACCTACGCATTTTTTTTTAAATTGTTAAAAAAAAGTAAAATATCAATTTAAAATTTCATAATTTAACGTATTACAACATGCATATATTTCCATACCACTCTGGTGCAAATTTTATGTCAAACTATAAAAATGAACAAATGCTAAAGTCCCGAGCCCCCCATGGTAATAACAATAATAATAAAACTGGTAGGTATTTCAGTATTTGTATTATGTTGTATGTATGTGCTAAATGCATTAAATTTGATAGATATAATATTAAAACATAATAATATATTCATATAATAATAATAGATAAATTTATATAATATATTAATCTATTAAACTTGATTTATTTGTGTTTTAATCTAAGTTATTATTATTATTTTTAGCAAATTTTAAATACATATGAAAAAGATGACGATTGTGCATCAGAAAAAAGTTTTGGCAGTACAACCAGCAGTCAATGTGATAATGGCCATTCTATGTTTGCTCTTAATGGCACCACATACTCCAGCCGAAAAAAGGCTTATTTACACTATTGTCCCTCAAATATAGGCAGTGAAGAGTATCTTACTCCTACACAGAGGTCTAGTCGAACTATCAGAAATCTTAGAGTAAAACAAAATCATTTTAACTAAATAATATTCAATAATTTGATAATAGTTATTGAATAATTTAGAGATTGCTAAATGATGCTCACAGTGAACTCAATGATAAAGATACTGAAATTGACCGTCTTAAGAAAGAAAATATTGAACTTAAAGTAAAATGTGGATATGAAACTACTAACAATTCTATTGCTGAAGGTGATGAAGATGAAGACACTGCTAGATTCATACCCAGCAAAGAACAAACCCCTGAACCTGATTCAACGTAATTAGTTTTTTGAATTGAAAATGTTATGGAACTTTTTAATTGGTCTTTATATTTCTAATTTTAGTAAACTTTCAAGGAGTTTTTTAAATCCGTCACCGTCACCAGCAGATTCAGGACATGGTGATGAATATGATGAAGCTAAAAAATTACGTCATGCTTATGATGAGTTACGTGAGAAACATAATGATAAGATTGAAGAACTATTGAAACGTTTAGGAGAACTCAATGAAAAGTAAGAGTTGTTAATTCTGACTTGTTTATTAGTAATAACTAATAATAATATAAATGGTATTTTTCATATTATAGTCTACAAACATAAATATACTATCTGCTCTTTATTTATTTGATTTAACTCCCATTTTGATTCAAAGAGTTTATTTTGCTGAAACTCTCATCATGCATATTATATATATAATTATACTTGCAAGAATGATATGAATATTGTTACATAATATAAAACAACAAACATTTTTTACAAATTTAATGACAAAAGAAGAATTAACAAAGCACAAAATAATTTAATTTATAGTAATATATAGGGTATTTTAAATAATAGTATGACTAGAAAAATTAATTTTCGCTAAAGAGGTTGAGTTTAAGACTACAATATTTTGGTTTTTCAAAAAGACCAATTAAGAAGAAAATAACTAGTGTAGACTCTGGTATACAGGATGATTTTTAAGCATGCTCATCCTATTTATACGCTATAAGTAAGCACCTATTTAAATTCTGATTTTTAATATTTAAATACATTTAAGGACCATATTTTTGAATATTTTGATATTTTTTGTACCACTTGAGGATAATGCTGAAACAATACATACTTCTGGTTTTCACTTTAAATTATTAAACATATTTTTTTTTTGAGAATTTTGATATATCTAGATCAAAATTTGAACGAGTAGTTTTTGTGTTATATAACTGTGTACTAAGGATAATATGTCTAAGGTAATGGGTTAAGTAGCTATAAAGGCTTAGATAATTTGAAAATTTTGGTAATTACTATTGATTAATATACATAATTTGTAAAAATGGTTCAAGTATAACAAATACTACCTATAACATTATGTTCAAGTTATAGTTTTGTTTAAACCATTTTTATTATCATTAGTATAAGCATTTTAATAACTCAGATATTACTCGTTAGAATTTTGATTTAGGTACATCCAAATTTTCAAGAAAATCATCTACTGAATGATTTTCAGTAAAAAAGAGGGGGGTTCTCATTTGAAGGATAGAAATGTATCATCGCAGGACACTCCTTAAAAAGTACAAAAGGCATTAACAATTTGAATAAATGTTCTATTAAAGCAAAAAATGGGACTAAGCATGCTTAAAAAATCATCTTGTATATATTATTTAATAAACACATAAATTACAAGAATAAACTAAATTCTGCTTATCACCCTAAGATATTATTCTCTATTTTTATTATATACAAATAAAGTAATGATATAAAAATAATACGAACTGCATTTGAAGCCATATCAATTTTGTAATGTGATATATATGTGTTTTAAGATATTATGGATTAAAACCATTACTTGATGAAGCATATATCAGAATCAAAGAACTTGAAATGGAAAATGATTTTCTTAAATGGTCTAAAACTGTACAAGATAATACTACAACTACTATTGATCAAACCTCTATTGATCATGTAAAGAAGACTTGTTGTGATGTTCTTACTCAGACTCAATCAATAATACAATTAGATAAGGTAAATTTTTTCAAAAAAAAAAAATTTTAAATACGGTTTATTAATATTTGTTTTACCTTTATATGGATGTTTAGAAGACTGAAACTGATCAAACACATCATAATTTCTATGGTGGTATTACTGAAAATATTCAAAACTCATTACACAAATCCGATTCAGACAAAAACCATGTAATCCCAACACAAACTCAACAAATTGTATGTCTAGAAAAGGTATGTCATTATTTATTGATTTTCTCAGTATTCTAGAGGATTTTTTATTGATATACTGCTATACTTACTTAGGATACTGAGACTACTAATGGTCAGGAAGGCGAAGACTGTGTTGATGAGCTGAGTAATGTTAAGTTACAACTAAAAAAGACCAAAGTAAGATAATATATTGTTTGTTATTATTTTACTTTACTATAGGTATTACATTCTATTAAAATATTCTAATTTTAATCTTCTTCCTGTGTTTGTGTTCACTAACATGTAGCAATTTAATTTTACGAATTATTACTGTACACGTTTGTCTTGAGTAAACATTTATTTGTTTAGAATCTTTTTAGAATATGTTTAAAATTTAGGGACGTAGCCAAAGTGTTGGTGGCGCTTTGTTATCCGGACCTGAGGCCATTGCCCTTTGGATGATCGGCACGAAAAAGGTTCGTCTCTCAGATCCCCTTTATGTGCAAATTTATTGGCATTTTAATTTTGATACGCATGGGAGTTTAAGCGAGTTGTACATTGACCTATACTGGATTGGATTTCTACAATAAATTATTTTTGATTTTATTTCTATTGTCTATTGTTTTTTTATTTTTTTATTTGGTGACGATATAGCCATATAGGACAACAGTAGGTCAAGTCAATGACATACATTATTTTATAATTCATTTTATGGAATATAATGATTATATAATACTAAATAAATACAAAATTCATAAGTTTTTTGATTTTTGTTATTAAATATACACATTAATCTTTTGATTACGAGCTATTTAATTACAACAGTACATAAAAAAAATAACTATCAAAGTTTCACAACATAAATTTTAAGTTATCATATTGCACGTAATATTTAATGTTTTTATGTAACCAAATAATTCAATTTTTGTAAGCTAAAATGTGAAAATTCTTTATTTTGTAATATACCAATATGTATTACAAAATAAAGCTTTATTACTGTTTTTTCTAGTACAATTCTTTGCTTTTCTCATTTTGTTATAACGTCAGAGCAATAGACAATTGATTATAAAAGTTCTTGGCAATGACAAGTAATTCATTAATATATATATACATAAAAACAGGATATTTTTTTGATTGTTATCTGTAGATTTATTTGTGTAAAATATATACTGAATAGATGAAATATTTGTAGATTAATTTATAATTGATATTTGACAGCTTTATTTTCTCAGGTGAAATATATTTTACGCGCTTCTTTTGTTATTATCCTTTCCCATTAGTAAGTGAACAAAATGTATGGATCTTAGTGTATGTTTTTTTGTTGTTTTTATGTAGATAAACACAATATTGTAGAAAAGTGTGTACATAACTACTTCTGCACTGGCTTATCCTGGTCATAACCAACTGGAGATAACTAAACGCTTTACAAAAGTACCTTCTTATTAACTTCATCTATAAAAAATTCTTTTTTATGTTGTGTTATATAGGCAATGTATGAAACTATTCTCCAACAACAATTGGAACAACAACGTCAACGTCCATTACATGATGCTGAAATGACATTGCAATTCTTAAAATCAGCATTTTACTATTATCTCACCGATCCTTCGAATACCACTGGACATTTAAACGCTATATTAAGCATACTTCGGTATTCAGATGCTGAAAAAAAAATAATTGAGAGAAATCAAGCGTGGAAATAACATTGTTTTTAAAAATATCTGAATTATTTGTAATTTTTGTCCAATTTAAATTTAACTGAAAACAATCTTTTTTCTGTATGAACTATGACAAAAAATTTATTGATCCAAACCGGTGTTAAATTATCCCCCAATATTATCCCGTTGCGGGATAGTGGACACTGTAAATTATGTGGTGCAAACATCCTGGTGTGTTTTTTTCACACCAGTTTGAGACAGTGAATTTCTAGTGAATATTTAATTTTAAAATAAGTTTCCTAATTAGTTTATATATTTCTTGGTTTTCTGTTCTGTTATTATTTTATTTTATTAATTATTTTTAAATGTATTGTAGAATCAGTATTATGGTTGTTGTTAGGGATTTTGTGAGATTTATTAGAATATTATTTTATGTTGTTTTAAAAGAATGTTTGATTTTTACTACTTTTTGGCTCAGCTTTCAGTTTTCTCATAGTATTTAAGTATACACTGTATCTATACAATTTTTCAATTAATTCAGATCAGTTACTTTAACATATTGATCATAATATTATTATTTATATTTTATTTTAATATGACTATTGACTATATAGTAAACAGTACATTTTTGTACAATAGGTATATTGTCAATGTGTGAGGTATCAGTATTGTGATAAAATTTATATACAGGAAAAATTATTCTGTGGTCAAAGTTTGAATAATAAATTGATTATAAAACATAACTGGTGTATTTTTTTTTTTTAGAAATTATGATGATTTCCATTTTCCACCACCTACTCAGTACTCGTTATGTAATATTATATTTTATTTTGTCAGTATTCATTGTACGTATATTATCAATTATTTTTACATGTTCTTATATTTTATTAACATGCTGGCGGACATGGCTACCATACTGGCGATTCTGATGCATATTAACCAAGATCATTGGCACATTTGGGGTTGAAATGGTAAAATAAACATTTGATGCAAATTTCAAGTAATGAAGGTTAATAATTTTTGAAAAACATCAAATCAAGAAATTTGCTAACTTGTCGACGACGGGCATCGGGCCGATAATTTATTGTTATTTTGATTAAAATAAATTCCATAACAGCAGCGACATCTACTGCCGTCAATTCTAACGCGTATGTGAAGAACTGGCCATCATAGCTGCTCAATTTTTTAGTTAGATAGCGGTTAGATATACGATTCAAATCACAGATATATAAAAATACTAGATGGACGACTCCCTATTCCTACAATGTAAAAATTATGAAGCCTACAAAATAGCCGAGATTCTCTTATCTAAGAGGTGAATGTTTACAAAATATCATATATCAGCACAGCTGATATACATACATATCTGTGTGTATCAGTGTTGTGAAAATGTAAACATTTACCTCTTAGATAAGAGAATTTCGGCCATTTTGTGGGCTTCAAAATCATTTCCAAGTCGGCTATCTAGTATTTTTATATATCTGTGTTCACAATGATGTGGATGTAGGCAAAGCTCCATCGGTTTACTTTTTAGGAAAACCCTCAAGTTTGGGTTAGTTGAGTCCCTAAATATGATAAATAGTCGGAACAAAAACTACTACTTAATTTGAATCTAAAAATGTATTGAAATATGCACTAAAAATTATTAAAACTGTAGAAAAATACTCGAAAAACGACAAGTAAGCGTATCTGATGGATGAAACGGATTTTGAACTTGAAAAACATTTCCTGGAACTTTTCCGAAAATAATGCATTTTCCACCAAAATCCGGACCATAGCTATAAGTATATAAAGTTTAGTTGAGCATTATCTATCACGTGGGTATACGGTAGTGTATGGTGTTCAAATATATGGTATAAAAAAATCGTCAAAAATAATAAAATTGTACCAGATGGATTATTTTTTACCTGTAGCCCTGGGAACATACTAGGAGATCGGTCTACTCTGAAATTGCACAGTATAGCACAGTATAGCACATTGACCAGTCCCCCCTGGGCCTGATCCCACTTTTAATGTCATTTGACTTGCGCCTGAACCAAATGCATATAAATTGTGAATGTATATTGTATATTGCAAATCACGTGCTAAATAAATGCATAAAAAATTACACATTTTTCGTTTGGGTGGGTTTGCTGACAAGCACATCGATTTTCAGCCTAATTTACAAGTTTTTGGCCGAAAACAATTAATACATTATGGTAGCCCATCATAGTGGCTTCCCGTACGGCACACAATCATATAAGATTACACAATTTTATATCCATCGTGGTTTTTGAGGAAATCGTAAACATATTAAAAATTGCAGTAAAATTGCCTATACGAAACACCTCAAAAGTTGAATATTTTAAATTTTAATATAATAGTACAAAATCTGTTCTCTATTTTAACTATTTTTAAGTCAACTTTAATGTAAAGAAAATAAAGTTGTCTGCTTGTACCTTTTACCATAAAATAATAACATTTTTTTATTTTGTAAATAAGCTAATTTTTATAGTTTTTAAAAATACCTTTAATGTGCCTAAATATAATACATTTTAATATAATTTTAACTAATTATCCCTTAATAATAATTAACTAAAACGAAGCTATATCTATGGGGAAACGTTGGAATGTAAGTACGTAAGTACGTTACCTGGATTTGGTCTCAAAATGTTGTTTCTAACATATAGTATATACTATATATTATATAACCTTATGATTTATTGCAGTTAATGCTATGTGCATTTTATTGCCTATACATACTACTGTATTCAATATTTCAATTTTCAGTATGCACTGTAAGCGCAACGATAGGTTGAAGAAAGGCGATAAGACTTAGATTACTTCGCATAAATCATATTAGATATTTAGATTTTTTTATTTTTCTATTAAATTACACGATATTTTCCAAATTGTATTAATAGTCATTTCTGAGCTAAATAAACATACAAATAACATGTTTTCACCAGAGCGTTGAATTGTGAATTAGGGATATTAAATAATACAACTGAAAATAAAATTAGTGGTTTGCTATTTTAAAATGAGCACCAATACAATATAAGTATTAACCTATAGTTAAGTAGGTACAAGGTGTGCGTAGATGACCAAATTTGACTAGTGATTGCTATATTTTATAAATAGCATCCCCTAATTGTGCCAATGGCTATCTCGAGTATAGTGTGCGTGTGTGTTACACCCTTACACCTTTCACAAATTTTATTGATTTTGAAATATCTTAAAACGTAAAGGTCGTTCTTTGCTGTTTTGATCATAGATACCTATTTCGTACTCGTGCAAACAATACATACCGTACTGCACCGTTTACGAATATACCTACAGCAGTGCATTTCACACAATTACACAAACATGAATACCTATATCGGGCTATATGTAAATGTACTATTCACGTGTTGTCGTGTTAAGTGTACCTTTCTGGTACCTATGCGCCTGTGCACTAGTTTTTTTTTTCGTTTCCCCATACACATTTTTTTCGGAGATTTCCTACAACCTACCTACGGCTACGGTTGTAAAGAAAGAAAAAACTAAATAAAAAACATTTCGTCACGACTGAAAAAAATTAAACGACTTTTTAATCCATATAGCGTCTATTATTATGTACTCATACAGAGTGACTCACTACGTTTGCGTCCCGATTGTTATTACGTTTGATAGATACCCGAACAAAGATTATAGCAAATTAATTGTACTGCCCATCGGAACTTCTAGAATCACAATTAGTTGAGATTTCAGATTTGTAACATTTATTTGTTATTTTTGTTTTACACAGATATGACAACTCGAGCATAGGTACTTAGGTACCTCGCTGCTTTACACTAAAAAATATGGAACTAATTGTTCATATAAACATTTTAAAATTGTAATCCCTAACCGCCTAATCCAATAATTATGTAAATGTTAAGCTTTTAATTGATGGCGAACGGCGATATGAGGGGAATTCATGTATTATTACAGTGAATTAAAACGTGGATTACGCAGTGATACGCCCTGTATGCATTGGTACATCGAACTTAAATAAAATCAAACGTTTAAACGATTTTTTTTTTTTTATTATTATTCAAACGAATCTATTATGATTCAAAGAGAATTGTATACCTGTATACTATATAATAATATGTGTATAAAATATTGTTATGGTACATTTTTTTCCTTATTTCCATCAAGACACCATAACGAAGGTCAAAATGTTTTCTTTATTGATAATTTTAAGAAATCCAATTGTGTTGTGTGAGTGACAATGGATAGGTAATAATGTAAAATGGATGCCGGATGGCATATTATTTTATAATAATAACTTTAAAATAACCTCTAAGGTTCTACTGCAGATGTCAGTGATCGCCATTACACGACACAACATAGAAGTCCTCAAATGTCTTACATATTAGTCTGAGTTGCCGATTTTGGGATCTGAGCGTAGCGATAAATGTATTTATTTGATAAATATTGTGTCATTGTGCGAATGATTTGAGTTGGGATGTTTTTGCATTAAAATATTGAATAAATATTATGTGCGCCCTTATGCACGGAAAATTATTTGAAAAATACCAGTTAAACAAATGTATTTATACACAACACATCTCTTGTATGAATACGTTGGATAAAAAAAAATTTCATTTCACTATAATAATACACAGTACATTATAATTCAAATAAGTGATTTAATGAACAGAGTTGGTCAGTTGGATTTAATATTGAAATAGCTAGTTTATTTTAAATATTCAATACTTATAGCGAATTTGCAGTAATTTGGTGCTATTTAGTTACGATATAGTTCAATGAACATGTTATGTTACTACTATGTAAGTACATACGAGTTATGGTTTATCTAACTTCTATGCTTAATCGGATATCAAATTTTCGATGAAATAATAACATTCGATCATTTTTACACAATCTATAAAAATGTACTTTTGAAAATGTTTTTTTTATATTACCACGAACATATTAATTAATATAGCATACTATTGCATGACATATAGTGAGCAGAGACGACTGAGTGAGAGTAACTAGATTGTAACCATAACGACGTTACTTTTTCTTATATTATGTAGGTACCATTATTTAATTTTTTTTTTTTATTTAACGAACAACTAACAATTCCCCATTAGTATTATACTTTTTCATACTTCATTTGGGGTCTCTTATTTATTAGATATCACATTGTTTTTTCCAACTTGTGTAGGTACCCTGTATTTTTGTTTAATACGATTTTGTACTAATTAGTAATTAGTCATGTACACACGTTTTTACTTGTTATAGTTATTACTGCTAATAGTGACATTGTGTCACATGTATAACACTGAATACCTATAAATATGTGTGACATTGCGACCATATACGAAGTGCATCTATTGAACCGCATATTTATTTGTTATTATTATTGAAAAAGTCAAGTTGTTTTTACTCCAATTGGAGTGGACCGAGATCACCGCGAGTTAAACGTATACACATTACACATTACTCACGGTTTATTTTGTGTACAGTGGTACAGGTAATATAGGTAGGTAATAGGTATGCACACGTAACAATACATAATATTGTTATTATTACCATTATATCTGGTCACCTGGACGCGTGTTGAAGGTACGTCGGTTAGGAAAGACGAATTCCCTTTGGTTCGAGTAAGACGACCTAACCACGATGACGAGTTTTGGGTCAAGGCCGTCCCGACGGGCATGTGCCACCGGCGGCGGCAAATTCTCGAGGGGGAAAATGACCAAACCGATTATGGAAACCGGCGC